GCTGAAGACCCGGGTCAGGCTTCTCAGGCCTCCGTAGCTTCCATGGTTCCCACTGGTGCTGGCGCCTCTCTCGCCAGCGCCATCTCCAACAACAGTGTCTGAGTCGCTCCCGCTTTCCCCCTGTCCCCGTAACAGGAAAAAAAAACATTTTGAGGTATCTGGGAGTGCCACGCACTGTGTTTTGGTTTAATCCTGAGCAGCGGGCTGGGCGTGAGAAGAGCCGAGCGAGTGTCTCTGCTGCTGCTACCCTTGGTGCTCCAGCCTCGGGCTCTGCAAGCTTGCAAAAGTCCCGGTGCGCAGCCCATTCCTGCATTCCAAGTGCCCAGGCCGAGCTGCAGCTGTCCCTCTCTCACCAGCGCCGTCTCTAATAACAGCAGCAGCGGCGGCAGGAACCGTGGAAGTTACGGAGGCGTCTCCCACCCCTAGAAGCGGCTGAAACGCTTCCATGGTTCCCGCCACTGCTGCCACTGTTGTTGGAGACAGCATTGGCGAGAGAGGGACAGCTGCAGCTTAGCCTGGGCGCTTGGAATGCAGGAACGGGCTGTGCACCAGGACTTTTGCAAACTTGCACAGCCCGAGGCTGGAGCACCAAGGGTAGCAGCAGCAGAGACGCTTGCTTGGCTCTTCTCACCCCCACCCCGCCGCTCGGGATTAAACCAAAACGCAGTGCGTGCCGCTCCCAGATACCTCAAAATGTTTTTTTTTTTCCTGTTGTTATGGGGATGGGGGAAAAGTAGGAGCGACTCAGACACTGTTGTTGGAGACAGCGCTGACGAGAGAGGCGCCAGCACTGGTGGGAATCATGGAAACTACGGAGACCTGAGAAGTGGCTGAAACACTGCCAGACATCCACGCCGACGTCGCCTGCCTGCTGACCCGAGTCTGCAGCAAAGGCGCTTGGTGGGGGTAAGGGAGCCCTCCTTGCTCCACCATGATTGGCTGTTAGGAGCGGATGATGGTGAGGCGTAGCTGCCCGCGGGGGACTCCTAATGGCAAGTTCCCCCCCACCTTCCCCCCCCCAATTTCGCATGTTTTAAACTAGGCCTAAATTTGGGGGGAGGGGCTTAATTTCATTTTATGCCTAGAAAACATGCTGGCTCTTCCTATGGGGGGGGGGGCGTATTGTTGGAGAAACACGGTAGATGGAAGCCTGGGGTTTTATTTACAGGTAATCCTTGACTTACAACCACAATTGAGCCCAAAATTTCTGGTGCTAAGCAAGACAGTTGAGAAGAGAGTTTTGTCCCATTTTACGACCTTTCTTGCCACAGTTGTTAAGTGAATCACTGCAATTGTTAATTTAGTAACACAATTGCAAAGTGAATCTGGCTTCCCCATTGACTTTGCTAGTCTGAAGGTTGCAATAGGTGATTACATGATGCTGGGACACTGCAACCTTCATAAGTACATGCCAGTTGCTAAGTTTCTGAATTTTGGTCATGTAACCCTGTGGATGCTGCAACATTCATAAGTCTGAAAAATGGTCATATTTTCATGCTTTTTTCATGCTGCTGTAATTTCAAACCATCCACCAAATTAATCTTAAATTGAGGACTACCTATATTCGTTTTATTTTATTGATTTATCTATCAAATTGCTAAGCTGCCCATCACGCTTGCATACTGATTGAACTGACTGGACATAAAATTGGCTCTTCTAATTTGGCTGACATAGTCCTGAAAGCAGCAATAATGTCCACTGGGAGTGAGGGAGCGGGCAATGGAGATCAGGGTGATATAAGCGCTGTTGCAGTAATACCAATATTGTAAAGTGCCCCACACTCAAAAGTGTGGGATTTGTGATGCAGTGCTGTGATGCTGCTTTTTTCAGAAAGACTAAAGAGGAAGTTTGGTCTAGTGGCTAAGATGGTGGCCTAAAAGCCAGGAGACTAGGAGTTCCAAACAGTTCCTTAGGCAGGGAATCTTTGGGCCATTCAGCAAACACCCCCACCCACCCCGGGTTGCTGTTGTGGGGAAAATAATTGTAGGACGGAGTATTATTGATGTTCCCAGCCTTATTTATAAAGTAATAAAAGTAGTATATAAATCTAATAAATAAATTGAATAAATAAAACAGAGAGGGGCTTCAGCTACCTGGAAAGCAGGTAGCTGCACTAACAAAACTTAAAAGCTATATGGCCAGTTAAAAAAAGGAAAAAAAAAACCCATACCACAAAATAGAATCCCAGGAATTTCTATTGAATGGAAATTCTGGTCTTGATGCATAGACTCTTGTCTATGAGCAAAGCACAACAATATTTCACAATGCGGACTATGCAGTTAGTACATGGTTTCTCTTGCAATCAGATAAGGCTATCTCAATTGTAAACTATGGGATCTAACGCTAATCCAAACATAATGGTTAAAGGTATAATTGAAATGCATACGTACCTTCCAGTTAAATTTTCATTTTCACTTTAGTCATTGTTTCAATAAAGGCTCTTAACTATGGTATTGACTCCCTATCAGTATACCATTAAGAAAGTGAAATATGGTAATTTTCTGGGGATTTCCAAAACTGGTTATTTCCCAGTAGGTTTACTGCAACTTCAGGAGCAATTCTGTTTCAGCAACAATTATATTTTCATGCTCAGTTAATAAGCCCAAACACAAGCATATTTTTCTTCCTGCCATTAATTAGTTTGCTTCAGTGTATCTACTCCTAAACAGAAAACGTTGCTAATAAAGGCTACAAAAATTTGTAGAGATATATTTATGATCAACAACCTCAACCAAGATAATGCAGAGCTATATAACTGTCAACTGTCTTGAATTTGCCTGGGTAGTCACGGTTTGCAGGGACTAGGGATCATTTCACCCCAAAAACCCACCCCAGGAAGTTAGAGGATTTTAGCCCTAGGAGATCTGAAGCAAGCTGGTTGAGGCCAAGCCACTAGTATAATTTCTTTAGCGTACCCAGTTGGGTCCCTTCTCCAATTTTGCACCATTAGAATTTGTTCAATCCAAATTTTAAAGATTGGTCCTTCCAGTGTGTCTCTAATGCCATTCTGAGACTAGAGACAGGTCTCGTGAAAACGAGAGGGCAGTGTGGGTGACCATACTAAACTATTGGTTCAAATTACCCTTTCCCCCCTTTGGCCTTGCCCTATTAACTAGGAGGAATGATTTTCATTTCACATGAAAATATGCAGTGGCAACTCAAAACTTGTCTGTGGGCTTCTCTCCAGGTCTTCTACTCAGCATAACACAGGATTTGGCTAAAACACATATTAAACAGCTTGTAGCAGGCACAAAGTACTAATTGGATCTAGCCAGGCCCTCAACCTTTCTTGTCAAATGAATCCAAGAAGTACTCTGACACCCCAATGGCATACTTAACTAATCTCCAAGTACCTAACTCTGCCTCTGTAATAGAAACATTTATATTAGCCCCATCTCACCATTACCACATAAATACCCAAGGTGTACAAGGACAATTTGTTACCTCCTTGCTGTTTGCAGATATTCACCTAGCTACAACCTACAATGTTACCAGATTTTGCCCAGCAGCACTTAAAATCCATCAGCTGATGACCTGTGCCATAATTTAATGGGTATTTGGTTCATTATTCAAGAGTGTTCTATACTCTGACTTGGTTTTATATCTATTGGTTTTTTACTTTTTATATCTTTTAACTTCTTTAAAACTAGATCTTGATGCATCTTTTATATATACATTTTTAGCAGTTTAAAATTACTAATTGTGCCCAACCTTCTTTATGCTAATAAAGATTTGATCTGATCTACACAGTACACATGTTTGTTCATGCCTTCAAAGGTACTGTGAATGCCAAAGGTGTAAATAAAACACTCCTGTAGTGGCTGGGCATGCTGATTCCCTATATACAATTCACCAGGTAGAAATTATCAGATATATAGACAATACTCCTCAGAGGTGCCAGAGGGTATGTGTCATCTGGCGTACAGGAGTATGCTGAACCAGCTTTAGGAGATGGTTACTGGAGCCAATTAGATTAATTATCACTCTTATTTCTAGAAACTGCTTATACGCTCCAATCAAGCTCTTTTTATAGGTAGAATAGTATTTCCTTTTCAAAATTAGTCAAGTCCTTACTTATCCTGTATAATATTTCATTGTCATTAACTATATAGGTAAACTCCAAGAATGACCAATATAACTGTTAGTGTATCTTTATTGAAAACTCATTATTTTCTCTTTAGTATGTAGTATTTGTTATAAAGTAATATTAATTTAAATTTAAACATTGCTTAGGTGTTTCTACCACCTTTTTTAACTAACCAAGATTTACTAACTAAATTCATACTGTTCCAGTTATGACAAAAGTCCAAACAGAAACCTCATGAAAATCAGTTCCTTGTCCTCTACAATGGACAATGAATACATAAAGTAAAAAATGTAGAATGTAGAAACAAATATATGTGCATTTTGTGAAACAGATGCTTGTTGCCTTTTCAAAAATCCATAGTGGTCCCCTGTGTATATAGGTCCTTCAACATATACAATTGTAGAAAGTTAAAAGGGTTTAAAATACTCCCAAACGCTAAAGTACTCTTTGTCCAATTTATGCAACCCAACGATGCATCTGCAAATAGAGAATTACTTTAGGCTTTGACTACAGCAGAATTTCCCATTCTCTGTTGTCATTCTCTAAATGACAATTACAATAAAGTTGTGGGTAGAGGGTTGACGAAAATACTTCTCCTGGGTAATGACTTACTTAACGATGATTACTGAATTAACCCAATTTATTAGAATTATACTTTAAAGATAATGATGTTTATACATGGTACTGAATTAACGCCGGTAGCTGAAGTCAAACACTATAAATTATAGACTAAGCAACAATTTAATAATACAACATATTGTGCAATCCCAAACGCTGAATCAAAAGTAATCACACTTGTTGTTGAGATGTGTACTGAGTAATCTGCGAAGCAGAGAACGGATCAGTTTTTTGTCTTTAGCTTTGGATTAATGCTGGGGCAAACGGTTAATACAAATATTTTAATTTTTTTAAATATACAAAGTATTTCGTGTATTGCGCAGGTAATATAAAAAGCAAGCGCTTTTCTTTTCTGTATCAGAAAAGCTAATAAGAATTAAAGTAAGATGCAATAATAAACAGTTCAATTCCATATTTGCCAAAGCCCGTTCAGGGCGCTTTTCTATGTTTTCTGACCCTATTTTCTATCCGTAGATGCGGTTCTCTCGCTTCCTCCGTGATTATTGATAGTGACATGGCGGTAACTCCGGCAGGGATGGCGGTGGATGTTCAGGCACGATTTGGGCATTCGGTGAAAGGACTGCTGACCGAAAAGGTGACCAACTGCGGTACGGATATAATCGCTCTCACTAAACAGGTGCTCAAGGGCTCCCGAAGCGCTGAGGTAAGCGAGACTACGCGAGCCCCCATTCTAACTATTATTCCGGAACTCAGTTTCAGTCGTTTCAAGAGGTTCGCGGCGTATGGTGGGATTTGTAGTCTCTGAACGCTTCGGCGGGCGGCCTTTTTAAGGGAAATACTGTAATGCTAAGAAAACATAGTTCTGACTTAGAGCCGGTTAGTTTCATGGGATAAAGATGATCAATTGATTCTTCCCCTTAAATGTCAGGGGATAGAACCGATGATTTTGACACGTTTAGGTGTTCAGTTACGGTCATCCGATATTATACTTAGCGCCTCTATTTTAAAACTCAAATAGTTCCGACCTTTTGCCTGTCAGAAAACAACAACTGAATGAGAAACTGCAGGTGACCTTCTACTGTTGCACCATAGAGAGTATTTTAACTTACTGCACCTCTGGCAGATAGGACAGCGCTCCAGAGGGTTAATGTCACTGCCCAGAAGATCATTGGTTGCCATCTCCCCTCTTTGGAAGAGCTTTATAGCTCCCGCTGCCTTAAGAAAGTTCAAGACATTCTCAAAGATGCATCTCATCCTGGGCACCCTTTTTTTGAACTATTACCATCTGGCAGACGGTACAGAATAATAAAAACAAGGACAAATAGGCTGAAAAACAGGTTCTATCCCAGGGCAGTAGCTCTGTTGAATTCTAATGTATAATGCAGTGTCAGGGGTTTTCAATTCAATGTGTGGAGGATGAAGGATGTGTGTTTGTGTTCTATTTTCAATGTGCACTGAAGATGGTGTTTGATTTCATTGTATGAGGTGCAATGACAATAAAGTAAACTAAACTAAATTAATAATAAAGTTCATATACCTATAGTGGAAGTGCTCTGATGCTGATTTAGCCAAGCAAGCTAATAAGAAAGGAGACTTAGGTTTTATTCTTGAGTATCATTAGTATTGCTTTCCTAAGGTTAAAAGCCTATTTGTTTCTGCCCCAAAGACCCAAGTATGTATCCAATATTGTCACACTCTTTTGAGCAAACTAAATGAAAAAGTGGTAAATCCCACCAAGATCCTGAGTAGAAATTAATATTGAATGCTGCTGGGTATGTGTTGCACAATTGCTGGAACTTGTCTGAAAGTAATTTCAGTAAGGAATCACGGCAAAGTTTGAATGTAAGCATATCTTTATGCTTTTCTGATGTATATGGCTCTTATTCTCCTGGTTACATGACAAAGGTATTTGTGGGAATTGCATGGTAGTACATCTGAATGATATCAGATTGAAGCTGGCTTGGTATGTCTTCTACCAGCCCCAAACTTCAATCCTTGATTCACAAACAAGTCATTTACAAATTGCTTACCCTCAAGATTTGTCTGCTCAACTAGGCAGAAATTTGAGACCATCAATTTAAAAAAGGGCTTCTGTAAATCATTATATACATTAGCATAATTAATAATTACCATATTGTAAGATACCAAGAAGCTTCAAGAGCATTTATATACCACACTTATATACAAGAGCATTTATATACCGCTTCACAGGGCTTTACAGCCCCTTTCTAAGCGGTTTACAGAGTCAGCATATTGCCCCCAACAATCTGGGTTCTCATTTTGCCGACCTTGGAAGGCTGAGTCAACCTTGAGCCTGGTGAGAATTGAACTGCCAAATTGCAGGCAGCTAGTAATCAGCAGAAGTAGCCTGCAGTACTTATCCACATACATTATTTATTATGAAGCTTCTACATAATTTCAGAAAATCCTTTTGGTTCAGAATGTTTGTATAGTAAATTAGTGCTTCTGGATTAAATATGAGTTCATAAAGTTATAATTCCCAAATCTTACTATCTCCTGAAAGCTCAGTATTAGCTGCATTGTCAACCTTGAATAACAGTGGAAGAACATTAGCTTGGAGAACATAAAGTTTATATCTCTTCCTATGACTTTCATGTCTTTTAGTTCCTAGGACAAGCTGCCAGAAATATGGTGATGCAAGAGGGTGCCATTCTGCACTCTGAAGATGTAAGTACAGAATAGAATACTTGTCTGTTAATATTAAGTACATACCTCTGTGGGAGTTGCAGGACATGTAGAAAAGGAAATGTCAAGTTCAGGGTTGAAAATGAAAAGATCTCTATGTTGTGCATAATACCAGTCAGTCATTTTAATAAATAAAGTTAGGATAGATCATTGTAACACAAAACATATGCATTTCCACACATATGCAAGTAGATCAAGATGAATGTAGCTTTTGCCAAGGAAAAATTTGAATGAAATTATTCCTGAGCCAGCATGGAGATCTAAATATCCCAAAAACTGGAGAGTAAAAATGAATATTGCCAAACATAAAACACTGACTTGCTAGAAAGTAAAATAGTAGCACAACTTTCTAATTTCTCTTGTGCAGAAATTCTTAACCTGAGGTCCATGAATAGATTTCAGAGGCCTTGGGAACTTGGATGGGAAAAAATATTATTTTTATATATATATTACTGTTATGTTTTTGCTACTGTTTCTTATTTTTTTAAAATACTTTGATAGCTAATCAGTTTTCTTCATAATGCAACCTATATCCATGTATTAAATTATATGCATTTAAATAAATTTTTCTAAGAAAAGTGTCTGGAGGTTTCTCCAGAGTCTAAAAGGGGTCCATGGCATGCCTGCACACACAAATTAGAATCCTACTCTAGGATATTAAATCTCTCTGCCATCTACACCTAACTTCGCTTTGTGTTTTTTTTTCTGGGGTCCAGAATGTACATAAAAAAAATGTACTGGATTTCAGCAACATGTTGTTTTCCTAGATTTATATAGATTCAGAGACATTGTTACAAATATTACGCTTGAGACTTACTTTGCTGTACCTTTGAAATTAAAAGATCTGTTTTGAAAAATTAGCAGCATGGACTGGAAACTTGGGGAACATTGGGATAAGTATCTGTGGACACATTGTACTCATGGATACCATGTTGGAGTCCCAGACCACATTTTCAGTCTTCAACCTAATGAAGACTTTTCCAATTTGATGTTTTCTGTTCAGTTTGGATTCTTGTCTCTCATAATTCCCTACTATTGTGACCTTTGCCTTAGGAATATGGGGATTGCAATCTAGCACAATAGAAGGGCATCAGACTGTGGAAGACTAGTTTGGAATGATGCCTAGCTTTACATTTTTTCAAACAGTTTATTTAGCTTTTCTCTATTTTTACCATAGAAATTTTTATCACTAACCAAAATCTCTATGATTTTTTTTATAGTGTTGAACTGTAGTGTACAAATGGTGGTAGTTACCCAGATGGATTCTTGTATACTTTGCTAATCCTGCTAGTGGCAGAAAACAATTTTATGTAAGAGTTTAATTAATTAATCATCATCTCATATGGAAAAAATGAAAGCCTGTGAAATCAGTTCATTTAAAATTAGAGATTTATCAAAACCCCATGTTTTCTTTAAAGCAGCAAATACTATGAGAGCTAGGCATATCTAGTATGTGATTATTTCTCATTATCATGTAATGCCAAATGTTGATTGCATGATAACTTCATTGAGGGAAAAGGCATTTACTTCATACCTATCTCTTTGCAGAGTTTAAGAAAAATGGCTATTATTACTACTCACCTACAGTACCAGTAAGTATATACACTGCACATGCCATATTTGATGGGATAGCCTTCCTAGAAATTCAAATCCTAAAAAATTATGGTAGCATATTTTCAAATTTAAATGTTTTATTAAAAGGCATAAGCCTTCATGAAGATTTTTTCATTTTAGTCAGATACATTGTTAGTCTGAAAAGTTGCTAATAGACTCCTCATTATTGATTACTATAGAGTAACAAAGCTCTTTTCCTACAGCTAAAATATAATTGAGAATGGCATAGACTAAGTTTTGTAGGGCGGTGGTGGTGGTTAGAAATCAGCATTTTACATTTTTTTTAATGTCAGTGTTATTGCATCTAGGGAGGAAATTAAGCATTACAAAAGTAAATGATCCTTAAAATCTACATAGAATAGGAAGATTTTGCCCCGATTTTTTGAAAATTGTGCTTTTAGGGGTATTGCTGTTATGTCTTTATCCTCCCAAACTGAAAAAAAATCTGTTTCCCTCATTATGGATACTACAAACAGATAGTAGGGTCCCATATGCATCCAATGACTTACCTGATAAAGATTATCTGGGATGTGCTAGGAAACTCCAGCTTCCAGCTCTAATCATAGCAGTTCTCTGAATTGTTTCACATAGAAATAAATTCAAATAAATAAATAAATAAGGTCTATCCATAAGGAACATGACAGCTGGAACAAGTCTTTTCCCTCATAGTTGATCTGCATGGGAAACCTCTTTTTCCAGGTGATGAAAAAAAATAATCACAGTCTGTCTTCTGGATGTAAAACATAGCATTCCTCTGTACGTAAGAGGAATTGCCTTTGCTTGTTTACGAACAGAAAAAAGGGCAGGATTTGGTTCAAAGGCCAGCAGTTTGGAATGCAATGAATGTATCCCTTTCCAAGGCCCCACTACTTACTTTTGTAGGGTAGGGCAATCTAATACCAATCCAAAGGATAGAAAATAAGTAAGGAACTCTGACTGGCAACATAAAAATTACTGCCTTCAGTTGTCCTCTTCACAGCATAGATTTAGTTGCATCAGTACAAACAATCTAAATATGTCAGTTATTTCTATATATATATCAGTAAAGTCAGAAGTCTGATTTCCATGGATCCCCAATAATAAACCAGCACTCTTTTTATCAATTCAAAATTCATTTAAACTCATATTGTGTTTTCCCCTCCTCTAGGCAAGAAGCTATTCAAAAAAAGTAAGTATGCTTTTTCTATTTGATTGGGAGATTATCTACTCCAGAAATCTTTACTATTGCATTTTCAAATACTTGCATCCATTTTATTCCTGTGGATGTTTTTTAAATTGCGAGTTCAATAGAGTTAGGATTATTCTGCCCCTTTACAAAGTTTACTTAATTTGCACTTTATGTATTATTAAATACTAAATATTAATATTCAATATTAGTATACAATACAATGATTTAATGCTACATTAAATACCTTGTTTTTAGAACATATGGTAAAATGTGGGGAAAAAAAACACCAGTAAAAGCTCAGGTGATTTTTATGGTGACAAGAGTTAGCAGCCATCTAAATGAGATCTGGAATTGTTCTGCCTTTTTTTTTTTTTGTTCTCCTGATTTTTGTGAGAGATTCTTTATTACTGAAACTTTCAGTCTGGAATAAGTATAGTAGTGAAGAAGCTCTATTGGATACAATAGCATTTATCGCTAAGTAAATATGCACATGATTGCATTGGGAAAGTATTTCATATAAGGACTAGGCTTAATCTAGGTCAAATTCATTCTGTCAGTAAGCATCCCTTTTATGACTTTTAATTGTACTTAATCTTAATTTTGTTGTTTTTTCCTCCCTTTCTATCTGAAAAATGTGAGCTGCAAATTATATGTACTCAAAAGTTTGTATATGTAGTATGTAAATCTAACAGTTTAGATATTATAGCTAATATTTTGTTTGTATTCATTCACATTTATTTATTTATTAAATTTGTTTGCCGCCCACCTGCCCACAAGGCCACATTTCTTGCTATAAGTAAATTGTAAGCTTTTAACCAGTGCTATATTAAATATTGAAAACGTAATGTTTGTTACGCATAAAAATAAAATATGTCCCATTATTCCAGTCTGTTTACTATTATATTACATAATTGGGGAAAAGGAGTTGGAGTTCAATGGATAAAAACAGCTCATTCCCTCTTATTTTATTCTGAAACACCTTTACATTGTGAAAATCTTTTTTTCCAGTGATTATATCTAAATATCCATGTCCACATGTTAAACTCTTCTGCAGTGTTGAACAGTCTTCAAATTTATGTGATCAGCTGAGCCATCTGCTGAAATGAAGAGAAGAGTTTGTAAGAGGTAACAAACAGCTGGAAAAGTGTGGAAGAAAATACACAGTGGGGGTTTACGGAATACCTTTCCCTGTTCTACAGATGCACTATAAGACTGAGTCAAAAGTCATCTCCCAGATGTAATGCCACAAAGTACGTGCTTTGTTCTATAAGATTCTGATCTGGAAATGTGGACAATTTTTAAATTACAAACGTTACCTTTATAAGAGGGTAGGTACATTGGTGTATTAAATTGCAGTTTCTGTATGTTGATGCCTGTTACTCTTTAGCAGCACTGATTTATTTAAGAATTAACATCATTCTAAATAATCAAATACATCTTGTTCTGGTTTTGAGTACTTCAAGAGGGGAATCTTTCCTCCTTTCAGACTGTTTGAAAACTCACAAATGTATAGTGTAAATGCTTTTCATAGTATAGAAAACGGATCATAAAAAACATACAGTTAATCCTCAGCTTATAATTATTCATTTAATAAAAATTTGAAACTACAATAGATTTGGAAAAAGTTACTTAGGACCTGTACTTGCACTTATGACCATCGCACCACCTCGTGGTCACAACTGCAATTCAGGCATTTGGCCACTGGCTTGTATATACAGCCATTTGTAGCATGATGCATTATTATGATTTGCAACCTTTTTGGTTGTTTTTTGACCAAAATTGCCCATTGGAAAAGCTGGATTTACTTAATAACCATGTAATTTGTTTAATGTCTACCATATTTTTTTTTGAAAACTGGGTCTGACTGAACTTATGACCACAACCATTTATGACACACGTTTTGGTCCCAATTTTGGTTGTAAATCGACAACTATCTGTACAGGTCTAGTTGAAATTCCCATATTTATTATTTACATCTATAATACTGGCTTGATTTATACTGGTCATGATGGTTTTTTCAACTGTGCCCTTGTGGCTATAAGCTAGTTAAAGCCTAGTATAATGTGAAAACTTAGCCATTCTTTTGAGGAGGATAACGCTCAGGGCATACTACCTCTAATTCAGGAGTAAAATGTCTGCTCATATAGCAAAAGTTTTATTGTATCCTATACAGTGCTGGTAGAGAATTAATCTTTGTGTGATTTCTATATGTGTGTAATTTTTTGATTTAATAATTCCATTTTTGCTAAGAAGCCAGAGTGGTGGAGGAGAGTGGTGCTATTTAACAATTGCACTTTCTAAGTATTTATTCTTTTCTGTCTTGCAAAATCTATTCATTGACATTCTGAGGACCTCAGAGGGAATATCTAACTTCAAGGAAAGTACATGTTTTCAAGGTTGGATTCTTTGTTTCTTCCAGTCTTATCTTAAATTAATGAGGACACACAGTCTGTTTGAGTAGAAACCTGGGAATTTACTTATATTTGCTTTAAATTCCTAATTTAAGCAAGTTTCCTTTTAAAAAAAGGCTTGCATGCTTTGTTCTGTAACAATGCTTACATTTAGAGTATAATCTTGTACATACTAATAAATATATAAGCATAATGGGATTTATCTTGAAGTAAACATAGAATTCTGTTATTTCTCCTTATTTCTTGTTGCATAATCTGTTATGTGAATATAAAATGTGATGAAAAAAATGTAGTGCATGTATAATTTATTTGCAAAAAAGGGCTAGGTTATATATATTTCCTTATGGCAATGCATCTGTTGTCAGGTTTGGCCTTAAGAAACATTTCTACATTTTCACTGCTGCTATGCTTCTTGAATTCACCATGGTGTAATTACGCAGTTCTCTACTTTAATAATCAGCAAGTAATTTTGAAGAGTCTTGGAGATACTCCATGTTTACAATAGTAGGCCATTTTTAAAAGCAACTAAAAGCAGAGCTACAGTTATAATATGCATTCAAAATATATTCATTATGTCAGTTCATTAACTATTAATGTTCTTCATAATCCCCCTTTAAAAAGTACTGATTTCCTTACAAAATTGCAAACTTTTTGTTTATATACAGAAATTACATCACAACAAATTGTTTCATTATAATATTAAAATTATATTATTTGATTATTATCTTATTGGTAATGCTGGTTTTCATAAACAGTAATAATTGGAGTAACTGACATGTCATTTTTAATAATATTCTATGCATGTTTAATTTTTGGTAGATATTGTAAATTAAAGTTTAAATAAAATATACAAAATAAAATGTAATTATATAAAATACATCTATTATACAAGTATCTACATGATACTTCATTAAACTAAATGGAATGTGGATAGGTAGATGTAGAATGTATAAAATGTATGTATGATTCAATAGGAAGCACTTAAACTTTGTGCAAAAGCTAAGTTAATAAGAAATATTTGTGCAAGGGGGAGGAAATTCACATTGTATGTTTGTTGGTATTAGTTTTAATTCTGCTACGGTATTAACATGCAATTTTATTGTTTGATTTATTATATTGATTTAATTTGTATTAGAATAGATAAAATGCTGAGTGTTTGATTTAAGCAATGGGAGTGGTGAAGACTGCTATATAATCAGTAAGCTGATTATATAGCAGTAAGCTGATAGGGCAGTAAGCTGATCAGGGGAGAAAAAATACATCATATATTCCAGATAGGGGATAGTTTTTGAAAAATATTTTTTTATGACTTTTTGCTTAGCTCTACACATTTTACTAAGCTGTCATATGATTGATTTGGGCTTACCATGATATGTAAATCCTGCTTATAAATCATAGTTTATGGCTTAGTATATTATGTAAATCTAAACATTTGTGGTGTATTTTTATGCAGATAACCTTTTTTCTTCATCCCTCACAATAACTTTTAGAACAGATATGTTTATGACTTCCATGCTTATATATCTTAGTGTTGGCCTATTGAGGGCTAACAATTGATTTTTATTGGAGAAGAAGGTAGGCTTTTTTCTTTGTCTGCAATTGGAAAACTATTTTAAACTTGCTTACTTTAACATATCTAACTTTTAGTTTGGTTTGTTTTCCTTTCACCCATATGTCCGGTTCTGGTTTGTTGCAAGAAAACTTATGTAAGGAATGAGAATTATCTGGACATCCCCCCCCGCCCCCGCTCCCATTCTACTCTGGGGAGAGGAAAGGATCCGATATAATTGTTGTCTTGATCCAAAACCGTTCGTTCTGTTTAAGATAAAATTTGCTTTTGCAGCTGTTTTTAAAGCAGGGGTCGCCAACCTTTTGGACCTCAGGGACCACTAATACGAATTTTGACTGACAGCTTGCTGATGGTGGAAGAGAGAGAGAGAGATCCGATCTAACGTCGGAGGGCTGGTAGTGATGTTTTCTCTCTCTCTCTCTCTCTCTCTCTCTCTCTCTCTCTCTCTCTCTCTCTCTCTCCCTCCCTCCCTCTCCCTCCCTCCCTCCCTCCCTCCCTCCCCCCTCTCTCTTTCTCTCTCTCTCTCTCTCTCTTTCCCCCTCCCTCCCTCCCTGCTTTTCAGCTCTGTTCTCGGGTGGGGGGGGGAGAGAGAGAATTCTGTGATCCCCAATAAAGAACGACCGATTGGTAGGAAAATGGAGTGGGGGATTTTCCTGAAGACTTTTGGGGGGATTTTCCCAGGGTTTCTCCTGCTTCTGCTTTTTCTGCAGAGACTTTTTGGGAAAATCCCAAAAACAATCTGCAGGAAAATTCCGCACCCCGTTTTCCTACCAATTGATCATTCTTTATTTGGGATTGCAGGATACTGTCTCCAGCTTTGTTCTCGGGTGTGTGTGTGTGAGAGAGAGAGACTTTTGGCTTCATGCAAGGAAAGCAGCAGAAGCAGCAGGAGTTTTTCTTTCTCTCCCCCAAACTCTGCCAGAAATGAGTCTTTGCCCGCGCAGCCTCTTGGAGCAGAATGCCTTGCAGGGTCCCAAAGACTCATTTCTGGCAGAGTTTGGGGGAGAGAAAGAAAGTCTTTTGCTGCTTTCCTTGCGTGCAGCCAAAAGCAGAAGAAAGAAGCGGAAAAAAGCAGCCCGGTGGCCAGGCGAGGCACATGGGGCAAGTGGGGCAAATTCCTCCCTCTGCCCTTTCCCCCCACAACTACCTTGTGTTGTTTGCAATGCAAGTAATGCAAGGCTTGTGTTCCTGCGTAGCCTGGATTAATTGCTTTGGGGGGTGCTTTGGGGGTGACATTTCTCTGCGGATCACCAAAATTTTCTCACAGACCACCAGTGGTTCCCGGCCCACCAGTTGGCGACCACTGTTTTAAAGTATCTAAGTGAGCATTTATTTCCTGTTACCTCTATTATGTGGCTAATGTCTGTTTTATTAAAACAAAGTGACTTGGCTGGGGCATCTTTGGGTGAGGGGGTTAAGGGTAAAGTTTGAACTTTCTGCATAAGTGTGTTAGAGGAAATAATAGTTTTGAGTTTCAAAAATTGCACAAAGCCACCAGTTGCCTTGCTTGCTTTTGGTTTAGTGTGTCATGTGTATCTAGCCCATGTGCAAATTATGATACCAACTGGTGGCAAAAAGGAATTCCTGGATGGAATTCTGGACAACCGGTAGCAGAAATTTTGAGTAGTTCAGAGAACGGGCAAATACCACCTCTGGCTGGCCCACTCACTATTCTCTGCCTCCTGAGTCCCAGCTGATTGGCTGGGTCTTCTTTTGTTGCCCTGCACAGGAGAACGGAGCTGGAAAGCAGGTTAGTGTGGTGGGGAGGGAATAGGATTTTGCAGTAACCTTCCCCCAGGAGTGGGGAGGGAATGGGGATTTTACAGTATCCTTCCCCTGCCATGCACACCAAGCCATACCCAGCAAGCCACACCCCTAGAACCGGTAGCAAAAAAATTTGAATCCCACCACTGATCAAGACATGTGTCCAAATTCAGGACCTCCTGAAGCCTCCTTCTAGGTTAAGGAGAGCAATTAGTAGATGGTTTTCTGCCAGTTGGTGACATATAGTGAGTGGGAAGAAAGGAAAGAAAGGTAGCAGCGTTTTCAACATTTGCTCCACCCAGTACATAAGAATACTACCTTTTAGTAAGTCTGTAATAATGTGAACAGGGATCAGCTGTCATAGCAACCAGTTTAAGCTGGCACAATTACTGAGACAGGTAGGTAAGTGGATGGGTGGACAGACAGACAAAATGGTAAAACTATGGGACCGTTGCTCTTATGCATTGTGGACACAGAACTTCTGAAAGGAAGATAGATATACTGTATATGAAATTCTAAAGAGGAGCAGAGATAATATGAGACAAAGGCTTTCATATTAAAAAATGTGCAGAATTTTAAAAACTTATCCTAATTAGGCAGAGCTATTGAAAATGGTTCTTAGTGTCCTCCTCCTCTGCTCGGGTTAGTGTGGTGCAAGAGAGGATAAGCATAAGCAGCTCACTCAGAATGTCAGAATTGTTTGGGTTTCCAGTTGCATTCTGGAAAAGTTTAACATTATCCCAGACTAGACAACAGCATTGGAATTCCTAAGCCATACTTTATTCAATAATTAATCAGGGCTGACCCTGAGTAGCTTCCAAAAACAGCCCAGACAGCAGGGTGCTCTACCTCCCGAGGGACACAATGGAGGTGTCTGAAATTGTTCATGGTACAGAAAACAGGAACCAAGCAACTTTCCTCCTCTTTTTCCCAGATAGCAGAATCCACGACTATCTACTGAAACTAACTTCAGAGAGGTTCAGGGGTAAAAAGTTACTAAATAGTTGCTTCTAAATAAATGTATCTGCCAGTTTCTATGACAGAGGGATATAGATTTAAAGTTTACTAGCCCAAAAATCTTTCTTCTTCTTTATTCCTTGCTTGTCAAAAGGAGCACTGTTTTGTGATTGAAGATTGAAGTCACAAAATAAGATATTCAAACCATATTAGCAATCAGAAAGCAAATACCATAGATTGATCATCATAACCAACTTTCTCCCTAATTATATTATAGTACCTTTTAAGACAGATGGGATTCAGCAGGAATATATTGCAGGCTGTTACAGCTTGCCATGTGCTTGTTTTATAAAATTATGACAAAAGCCTAAGTTTGAAGAAATATATTAAATTGTATGAAGAAGCTGAGGAATAAGAACAAAATAGTTTCCAGCCTGCAATATGTCTACTGAATTTCACAGATACTCTCCAAAGTGATTTAGATCTTCACTGTTTTTGGTTTGTGTCAGTCCATTGCTGGCATATCGGGGCTGTATTCTCATAGTGAAATGGGTGGTTTCCCACTGGGAAGAACTCTTTCCATATATGACCTCCCAACTCTAGCTAAACTCGAGGGTTCCTTGCCTTCATCTCAGCCTGTTTTTAAAACTTAACTGAAGAATGGCCCAATAGCTTCTCCTCTTACTGACAGGCCTTTTCTCCCCCTTGCTATGAAAACACACACATTGAGGAAATGACGAGGATAGATCTGCTACCCACTTATTTGTGGGTAAATCTATGTGTAAATCTATATGGAATGTATAAATTCATATTTGGAAGTAATTAATGAACATAAATAAAGCTTAAACTCTCTGAAAAAGGAAAGAAGCAGTTGTGCAAACCATAGTAGTATATTTTGAAGATAAACTCATGCTTCATATTCCCCAGGATCTTTTCAGTATATCCAGTGTGCTTAACTGGACCTTGACCTTTATCCTTCAGCCTGATTTTGGA